TTTACCTCCATTTCTTAATATAAGAGTGTTTCATAACTTGCTTATATTGCTGCCCTCTGCTCCCTCTACAGGACTTTTATCTGTTGGAGATCTGCTGCATCAAAATTGTCTTCCCTGAGGATACACATGCGTCTGTCAACTTGGAATTTATCTAAAGCCTTCTCAATGTCAACAAAGAAACACAAAGAGAAATCCATTCATACCAATGCATAGTATCTTTGGCTTGGGACTGCTTACTTTATTCTGTCTCCTGAACATAACTGATTACAGCCTGACTTCTATCTTTCTTTTTCTCAGTGTGTTGCTTTAAGTTACATTGAGAATTTATAAGATTTTAAGGGCTTAGTTTATCAAATGCATTGCTTGGTGTCAATCACTGTTTATGGCATCTGCAATTGTTACAGAAGAATGAAGATTTTTGAAGATTTCCTTCAAAGTGTCCTGTGTGTAACTGGTTATGAAGTTTCAGCTACTTTGCTTTGAACTATTAAGGGGCTATGGCATTTCATCTGTACTATCACCCTCCTCTTTCATGCTCTTTACTATGTTCTAAGTCAGAATTATCACACTATCTCTATGTCTGTCCTTAGGTTTATGAAAAGAAAAATTTTAAAGCTCTGTTCTGTATTCTTGTCTTTCCAGAAATTTTTTTTTTTACCATACTTTGCTGATTTTGATTTTCATATGACTAACCCCCTTTAATCTCCAGAAATTTCCTTGTGCTCCACGTAGGGAGTTTTTGGGTTACCTTGCACTTCTAGTTTTGTTGTGCAATTAAAAAAATTATTCTCTTCTCCTAATTTTCTTTCATAGTTTTCATAATTTTTAGGATCCTTTCTTTAATATATGGTTGCTTAGCATTGCATGTTTTCATTTCCCCTCACAACTATGTGGTTTTATATACCAGAGTTCTGAAATGCCTTCAGTTTTCTTCTGTTTTTTGTCTTTTCTATTCATTGAATCTCTCTTTTGAAGTCTATGCCTCATGTTTGTTTCATTTTTGTTTTGAACCTACCTACAGAAATTTGAAATATTTTCTATTTTACATTCTTTCAAGTTTAACCTCAGCTAGAGAATCTGTTGGTCCCAGCTTGCAGAATTGCAATATATTTGGTTTCCTGCAGGATCGGATTTTCTGTTCAGCTGGGGTGATGCTGCACCTAGACAATCTACATAATAGGATCATGTTTGTTGTTTGCAAATTCAATCAACCCGTTTTCCCTTTTAGTCTTAAATACAAAGCTGGGAATTCCCAAAGATACTATCCACACAACTGCTTTATTTTCTAGCATTAGCACTATAATCAAATCTTCCAGCATTTACTCTTTGCCTGCTTCCCCCTGGCCAGTTACTTATAAGAACTGTTCCTTACATCTTCTTGGAAGACTTCCAAAGGGCATGAAAAATTAAAATACAGAGTCTAGAAGGAAAAGTGTGTAATCATATGTAGATCACGTTCCCAAAGTACTCATGGCTGAGCTTTTTTTCCCCCTAAATTTCACCAAATCCTGTGTCATGTCTTTATTTACCTGAAAGTAACATAGTATAAGAATTTTCTACTTTTAAGTGTTTCATTTCACAGAGTTCCATATGGTTATGTTTGCAAGTGTTTGCTATCCTCCAATGTTTTTGAATGCCATTTGATTAATATTACAATTAATGTTTATACCCCATGTGGTATTCTTCAATTTCAGTAATTTTGTACCCATGGCTTGCATATCTGATTTTACAGAAGGCAATCATTAACTTACATCCGTTTCTACAGATGGATGACTAAGTTCAAATTGGTAATTTAAAATTCATAGAATTTTTTAAAACACAACATTTTTCTTTTATTTTTTATAATCCTTGGAAGTGTCTATTGAGTTTCAGTACAAAACAAAGTTTTAAAAAGTTTCTGCATAATTATGGAATATCACTAAAGACAAAGGAAAGTAAGAAAGTTAAGAAAATTCAGTGTTAAGATGCTTCATCTTATCCTCTGAATGACTGTAAATTTTCTAGCACTGGTAAACCAACACTGTTTCCTTTACTGTCATTCTCTGATACAGCTGAACCATCTCAACTGAAATCCCCCAAATGATTCAGCTTGAGACAGACACTCAAAAATCAATTCAAATGTTTTAAATTTGGCAAAGGTACAAGCGTTTAAGAAGAGGATCTCATGCCAGCAAATACTTGGCAATCTGAGCTAAAGGCATCCTTATTTGCCTGAGCCATAACGACTTCCCTGATCAGAATGCAAACAGCTGTTTCTGAGCAGCCACTGCACTGCTCTGCACTGTTGGCTGCACTGCAGTACCAGGTGACAGTTTCTATGCATTGGTTTTGACTAAAGCAATGCTAATTTTAATTATCAGAAAAAAATCTTCCCTATCAGCAAAAATTAGTCTCTCGCCAGAGCTGGTGGAAGCTCCATGCTTGGCAATATTGATAAGACAGGAAAGCATTAGAGAGCATGTTGTACAATAGGAGCTGAGTAGTCCATAGTGTAGCTGTTTATTTAAATGGAGCTACAAACTCTTCACTTGGAATTTATTTGGCCTAACAAAGAGAGAAAAAATCACGAGATTGACATTTAGTATTTTTGTTACTATACACAATAAGAGAGAAAAAATCACGAGATTGACATGTAGTATTTTTGTGACTATACACAAATTTAAGAAATCCTTTCTGTGGAGACTTCAAGAAGAACATATATCTAAATGAGAACGCTGTAAGCAGCATTGTTTATAGGAGAGTAAAAGCTCTAAAATGGTTAAGTATAGCTTCCTAACAGTCATTTGCATTTAATCACTATCACATTAAAATACTGAGCAGAAAATGTCATTATGATACATTTTTAATTGATTGTGGAAAGAAATAAATGTAATTAACTTGTTATTCACAGATTTCCTGTGTGAAAAATACTTCATGGCAAGATTTCACTGCACACATAAAAGGAGTGCTTAAAAATGAGCTTGACATTGGAATGCAAGGTGGAAAATAAAATATATGCAGGGACAGAGTTTTGTCCACTCAGTAAGAGTAGTGGATTCTAATAAGATTTCTGGAGACTGGCATTGCTTGCATAAATCACTTAAACAAACACTTTCAAATGAGGGCACTTCGTGTTGATTTATCCTATGTGGATTTAATTTTGAAGTTTGCTGCATACCTGCTGAAGCAGCCCTACAGCAGAGTTCAAAGGGGAATTGTCAGGGATGACCTTTTAGTGATGCTGTTCTCTCTTCCCACTCAATAGAAGAAGGGACAGCTCCAAAACTGAAAAGAACTGGCTCTTGCAAGTGTTAGGCTCTAGACTTCAGTGTTCTGTGCTTCGCTCAACACATACACCGATGGGATACCAACATGAAATCACCATGGAAAGTTTTGACATTCAAAGAGAGCAATAAGAAAGTGATTAAAAGGGGAGCTGAATCAAAATCAAAACTCAGGAGGCCTTCCAGATGGCCTTGACCTAGTGTCTGGCACATACTGATCTCCCCATCACAGATCATCACAGTTGAGTGGGGATGATAACTTTTGACATATTATTTAAAATGTAGAACTGCCAGGGCAGCAGTCCTTATCTCATGTTTTAAATTGTCAAGAAAAAGAGCCTCTCCATGACTTTATAATACAAGCAATAAACGATGAGCACATGAGTTTTCTCAGGTATTTTGATAGGAGCTGGAATGCTCACCAGTTTTAAGACATAGAAAGACACAAATTTTTCTGCTTCATACACTTGTGTTTCTGCATTTTAATGCTCATATCTTCCTAACTGAAGAACTGCCATTTTTATCAAATCACTTATGTTGTTTGGATTAAGCCTAACAGGGCCCTTCTGATTTTTTAATGCATTTTCCATGCTATAAACAACAATGAACAAGCCTTCCAAAAATGGCATGCATAGAGCTGATTGGGGATTAATCTTTCATGGTGAGCTAAATAAATTTTTAAAAAATCATCTCCTTTTGTCATTCCAAAATTGCAAAGGCATTTTTGAATTTTGGAATGTGAATCATTAGTTAGAAATAAGGATCATTTAATTATTTTTCTGCAGTATATGCTGATGCTTTTAGCACATTTTTGCACTTCCAGAATGCTTGGCATTTAGTTCAGTGACATAAGCATCACATATGAATTCCTGTAATTGCTTTTAGCTAAATTCTACATATAGATAGCTTCCTTACAGACTTGAAATAGAACAAAAATGTAGCCCTTTTAAGGGAATGAAATGCAGAGAATGTATTTGGATTCTGATGACTCTCTAGGATGCTTCATTCAAGATACAATATGAAGATCAAGGAGGGTAGTCCATGTGGTTTTGACACTGTATGAAGCAATCCATTCGGTATCTTTATTTTAAATGTGTGGGATGCAAATATATATGCACTACAATATCCTCCATTCCAGCACTGCAGCTTTAGTCACAGATTATTTCTTTTGGCTTGGTATGATAACTTATCTTTCACACAATGGTTTTTACATTCCTAATCAATAAATTAGCTCAGTCATTCTAGTTGCCAATCCTTTAAGGTTAACTACTATGAGAGACAACGAATAATCAAGTGTGCAGCATCATGTAGCACTGAATAATGTTTGCAGCTGGCACAGTCCAAACTAAGAGTTTCTATGGAGTATTTTTTAGTTTATCATGGAAATCTACCCATATAGGAACTCTGGCCATCTGTACAGGAATGTGAATTTCATAACTTCCTCAGTATTTTTACTAGAAAGGCAGCAGTGAATTAACATTTTAAGGACAAAGCAGTCATCATTAGGAGGTTTCCCTCTTGCACTTTGGACACTGAGAGCAAACATTAGTTAGGGAACACTAAGAGCTAATGGTTCAGTGAACCACGGTAGGCTGCATGCAACAAAAACCAGATAGGCTCGCACAGCCAGTGGAAACATTACATATAGTGGAACTGTGTTTACAGGCCTCGCTTAAAACCAGATAGAGCATGCAGATTTTGTAAAATTGAAAGATAAACAAACAATAAGACATTTACCTTCCACATCAAGGCACCTAGGTGGGCTATCTGACCAGATAAGGTTATACATGCACTCAAGGATCTCTGCCCCTTCTAGTTTATATCCAGGAAAGCACTGATAATACACCACTGTTCCTACGGGGAAGGAGGCCTCGAACTCAGATATGTTAATGTAACTATGAGGAAGAACCAATGGCCTCAGGCAACCTGCAAATTAAGAAGACGGAGGTATCTTTTATTATCAAGTGCTTATCTCAGTCATCTTCATGCATCAGTTACAATTTCTAAATTGAGGAGTGTGATATTTTTCACCTTCTCCACTATGAATGGCATGCCTGCATGATCTCCCTCAGATACATATACCTCATTATTCTGTTTCAAACCCTTTTATTGTTAGTCCACATGCTTTGCCTGGGATTCACTCCCAACAAATCCAGGAAAGGTTCACTGAAACTGACAGTATTTTGTTTCACAAACATCCTCCCTTTAGCACATGGCAATTTCTTTTTGAGGTAGAATTTTTAATAAAGAAAGATTGGCATTAATGTAAACCATGAGTTTGATTCCTCCTTTTCAAAGTGACAGGCATGTAAACCATCTTTAATATCAAAACTGCTCCTGTGACAAAGTGTACACAACTGTAAAATATTTTCAGACAGAATTAATGATTTTGAAATTCCAAGCCTAAAGGGACATGACTTCCCAGGAACACTCCCATGATAAACACTGAACGAGGTCTCAGATTGGGTTATCAAAAAGTTAAGGTACCTGTTATCACCAGAAACTGTAAATGCAATCAGAGACTACCTTCTACTTCTGGCATTACAAATCTGAGGGATTTGTACCACGGATGGTTCTGTGCAGTAATCGTTAAATGGTTCCCAACCATATTTGGGACAAGAAAGAGAAGTGAATTTAATAGATGACATGTCTTTATAACATGTCATTCCTCATGGCCATAGAAATGACCCTCTGGGTAACAGTTAATACTGTTGATTTTTCACTTGCAATAATGTGGAGGAAAAATGACTGGTAATCAGGGAAGGAAAAACAGTATTTTAAAGTTATGTGAGTAATGGAAGCTACGTTATGGCAATCCATAAATAGGTCTCTTGCCAACACTAGGAATTTGTAAAGGATGTTCATAGGATGCTCATCATTTTAAGCCTGAAGAGGAAACTCAAATCAGCCTGAGAACTTCTTGTAAGATACTGCCATTTAAAACAAAAAGTCTCAGCAGCATTTTAAGAGTCATTTCCTTGCAGTGGTCTTTTGAGGGAGACGGATGAAACCGAAAGAAAACAACACAAAAATCTTTAAAGCTTTTTTGTAGCATGCTGCACTACCAGAACAATGGTTTTGATAGCTTTGTTACTGGCTGGTTATGTCCCTACTCAAATAAAACTTCAAACATCCTGTCAAGTGGCTGCTGTCTGTACGTTGATCAAGTATGCCCCACACAACACGCTAATTCCTGCAAACTGAGCAGAACACTGAACAGGATGACATAAAATGCCTCCAGTGGGACAGAAGTGCATAGACTGCCCGAGCATGACCAAGTTTACTCTTCTCTGAACTGTATCAGGGAAAATTTTGTCCTGCTGGTCAGAATTTTAATGCTCATTATGTTCTTTGTAATACAGGACAGAGATTTACTTGAATTTGTATGAGAGCCAAGTGTTTCTGAAAATGCCTAGATCTCCAGACAACTCAAGCTGCTTGAAAACTTCATTTTGACATTCACTTTGCTAAGTAATTCACATCATTCCAGATCATCAAATATTTTTATTATCTCGTGACAAAAATAGAGGTTGGATTCTTATACAGTCTACAATCCTTTCCCACTGCTCTGGCAGAAAAAAAAAGGCATCTTGGTGTCATAAGACTCCACTGCCTGTTGTAATCAAAGGGCCATAGAAATGTAACTGACAGTCCACCTAGTGCAAGGAGACAAGCGGCTTTGATATTATTAATGCCTGATACCGCAAAAAGAAAATTCTGGAGAAAATTTGGCAACAACTTTATAGAATTTGGCAAAATACGGCAGACACATGAATCTGAATTGCCTACTCTCTGCCTGTCTGGTAATCACAGCACTTGGGTCTTGTGCAATTGATTTCTTAACTTCCTATTAGCATTGTGAAATCAAATTTTGAAAAACAGTTAATATCGAATATTGAGTATCAGCAGTTGATTGTTTTATAGTATAAATACAGCAACAGAAGAAAGTTACAAACCAAGGGGCATTTGTGGAACTTCCACTTACCCAGTTAATACCGTCTGTCCCAAAATTTCCACCTGGATCTTTGGCAAATACAGTACCTGAAAATTAGTCTTTTGAGTACTCATCTTACCCAACTGCAAGAGTCTTAATCTACCTTAACTGAGGTGCACCCACTCTCAAAAATGGGCTGCATGCTTCATACTGCCACATGCAATACCATTGCTGAAAACAAACCCAAAAATTGGTGTCCACTTTTCTATGGTTTTGTGAAAATTCCCCTTTGTTGTTACCTCTACTCAGATAATATGTATGCATACAAAACACTAAGCTAGTCTGGTAATACACCTAAATTTCTGCCATAGTCTAAGGCAAGGCCTTGGGGGCAGTCTGACGCACCATCACTCCCAGTGATGTGCCCCAGCTTCCCCTTCCGCCTGCCCTGACTCTGCAAATTGATGTGATGGTGTAACTAAGTGCCCACAGACAATTGTCAGCTATAGGAGATGACAGATGGGTTTTGAGGAAAGTTAAGAAGCAGAGTTAAAATCTCTCAATGCTGCTCAGTGGGCCAATCCTGTTACCAAGATGTGAAGAGGAAAAAAGCCAAATCAGTGGTACTAACACATGCATGAGAGCCCTGGGTTATTAATTTCCATTGACTAAAGCTGGCTTACCCTCAGCCATTTCTTGCAGTCTAAGCTGAGCTGGGATCCCATACTACCAATACTACTAATTCTATGGCTAATGGCTTTTCCTGCCAAAATCATTCCTGTGCACACCCTGAATTTTCAGTCAATACCCATGGGTTTAATAAACTGTGAACCTAATCAAAAACTGCTGAAAACTCTTGACAAAAGAACAGGACCCAGCTTCTCTTCTGCACCCCTGCCCTCTGCACAAGGCAAAGAAAGATAAATTGCAGTTAGAAGCTTAAATCTTTCCACAAATTAATTGACTCAAAATGTCAGTTGCCCATCAGATCTTTTGCTGAACTTCTGACTGATTTAACCCTGGTTGTTTTTTTCTTTTTAAGAAAATGTATCCGTGTCAGACTTTAGACTCATGAACAAAAAGCAAAATTTAAAGTAGTATTTTAAGTATGGCTGTGTTCAGAAAGTGGCATCTTCTTTCCTGCAGTGAGCAACAGGGAAGAGAAATCAGAAAAATCTTAGCAGCAGCACTATTCAAATACTGTGAAGCTTATCATATCAGTGATATCCTTACAACTGTAGAAAAAAGTATTGGCAAACTATCACAAGGTGCATGAACTATAAAAGAGGATGTGCTGGTGTACTAAACCTTGACATATGGGTAGATTATCCCATGTTCCATCGTCTTGACATATGGAAACCATGTTGTCTAAGTCAGGGTAACGGATCTGGAATCCTTCATGACAGCTGATTATTAATTTATCGCCAGTCTTGTATGTCTTGTTATGAATCTCTGCATCTTCAACATGTGGAACAAGGCAATCTGTGACTTCATGAAAAAAAGAAATAGTAACTTAATTAAAAACATGTGTCTAGCTATTCAGTAATTAAGTTTTTAAATAAAAGTTAGCATTTAATGTAAGTCCTCTGCTTACACCATTTGGAAAATACACACATTTCAGTAAAAATGTCCTTTCCCTAGTTAACCACCATTTACAAAGTCTATAGCACTGTAGTAGAAGCTGAGTTGCTACAATAATTGATTACTCCCCCAGCCTTTTTTGAAAAAAACATAATTAAGAGCCTTTAGGAAGACTTGTTAATTTTGTCCTTCCATTCATCGTTTGTACAAATAACACCACACAGTCTGATTATCCCAAGGTCTCATGTGAAGGCAGACTCTTTGACAGCACTAAGGACAGGACAGAAGAAAAGATAAAATACAGATAAGGCACAAAGAACACAGAAAAACTGCAGGTTTAGCAGAGAGACAGATGAAAATCAGGTACATTTACAAGGGTTTATCCAGCTCCATTCCACAGAGTTTGTTATAAGAATGCTGTAATTTTAATCTCATTGATTATGTTTTAAATCAGATAGCTTTATGTGCCTGAATTCATATGCCTTTGGAGGGCATGATTTTTAAGGTCCTGAGCAGCATCTCAAGTCCTTGTGGAAGACTCTCAACAAGGGACTGCAAACCTGAAGTGATACACAGGCATGGGCTCTATTACCTGTCTGTGATACATGTACTAGACAGTCATATAGCTCACTTTTTATACCAGTGCTAAAGACACGAAAATAAAAAATAAACCCCAGAAGATTAAAAGGTGAAAGATGTTGAGGAAAGTGGAAGGAAAGCACGAGGCAGGGGAAAAATCCCTCTGCTAATACTGAATAATTAAGAGACAAGCCAAGAGGGTATGAAGGAATAGTCTAGGTCGCTTAAAGTTCATCCTCATCATAAATGCAAAGTGAGATTAAACAGAAGAGCAGAAAGGATTAAATATGGGGAGGGAGGAAATTTCTGTTTATTTGCCAGCAGTCAATCCATGATAGAGATGGTGATAAAAGTTTCCAGACATCAAAACCCAAGAAGTATTTCAAATCAAAGCAAGACAGGAAAAATACTATATGCCTTTGTTATGCTTTTCTTTCCCCCAATACTCTACCACAAGAGACACTTATCTTCATTTAGGAATGCAATATTTATTTTTTAAAAAAAAGGAAGAAGTTTCAGAAGTCACTTGAGACTTGCATAAAAGAGAAAGTTTCTGCATTTTCATAGGTAATTCTCACTAAAGAGGAAGACGCAAATCTAAATTTATACTTAGCAATTAATTGTGAGTATATACAAAGGAAAGCTTGTTTGTTTGTTTAGAAATGCAATTAGAAGCAAGATAAACTCTCATTTAGCAAAGCACACGTAAACTACTAAGAGTGAATGCATTTCATAGTGTATTTATTTAGTTAGGCAAACCAGGGGTGATCTATTACTCTGAGACTCCACCACTAAATTTTACTAAATTGAAGTGCAAGAGAGCTGCTTCGTCAGGTAAAAATACTGTCCCTTGTACTCTCCCATCATAGGGACGTTTCCTAAAATATGTTGTACTTAGCTAAATTTTGATATGGGGCCTGGACATATTATTAGTTTAAAATTCTTCCATTTCTTTGTTACTTTTGCTTTTTAGCAGTTGCTGCAGGTGCCTCCTGCTGCTGGTAACAAGAAGGGCTTGCAGCCTGCCAGGTGGGCTAAGAAACTGGAGGAGGCTTTCTTAGAATTTATTCATTTATAAATGCCTAAGTATGAGATGATCTGTATCCTAACAGGAGGTTATAAATATGCTGATCAGGGTGAGGACATCACTTTCAAAGACCAACCAATTTTCTCTCTCTAGCTAATTAATCACCATAGGAGACAGCAGAGAATGCCCCATAAGAAATGCCTTGCACTAAGCCTTAAACGCTGTTATGAAGAGACTGTCCTGGGCACCCCTGAGAATGGGATGGGATAGATGGAGAACATGGTTTGCAGTCATGCAGGAGGAGGTTGAAGCTGGATGCCAGGAGATAATGTGGATGGACAGCTCACTCTCTTGACTTAACAGCTTTCTGTTGCTATACAAACAAAGGAGGTGTATATACATACAGCGCAGTAAAAGATGCCATTTCACTTTCAAAGTGGGGGAAATTGATTCCATAACAATGACCTATTACAGCAACTTCATCCCCATTATTCCAAGTAACAGCTGCATAACGAATCGTTTTAATCAGGTAGATGTTGGCAGAGACAGCAATAAGTTGCTTACTGTACTGTCCTTCGCCTGTGACATCCTGGCTGACTTTGATAACAGGCTTATTACAAGCCCCAGCTAAATGCCAGACCAATGGACCACAGTATTATGGCTCTTTTTACTGATGCCTTGCAAGCAAATGCTTTCCCACTGGCTGAATTCGTATTGTTTAGGACTTAGTCAGGCATAAATGGCAGTAGCCACCTCTCCACAAGCAATTGGATTAGCTGGCACCAATTCTGCTTGGAAAAGCTGAAAATAAGTGACTGAATGTTAAAATGTCCTGTCCTAGAAAATAAACTACTTTATTCTAAGCACTTTCCAGCAAATCCATGGAAGATGCTAAACCATTTAAGGGAATACACGGTCTTTAACCAGCATTGAACAGCAAAGGCCATTCACTTACACTCTTTTGTGGCAGTTTTACATGATCTGCTTATGTCTACTATGCAAGTATTAAAATGGGTCATCCAAAAGAGCACATTTCATATATTCGAGGGGCAGAAAGAGGTGGGGTATGGCCATCAGGCTCAATAGCCTGCCAGGTGCAAAGGCTCATCTTGATCTAACTTTGATGAAGATGTAGCTTTGAACATTAGGAGTTCTTGGATTTAGCAAACCAAGCGTGTCCCCCCCATCACGGTAAAAGTTGTCAAACACTATAGTTACAGTACTTCAGTTCATGTGCAAACCATGTATCATCTCTCAGAACTGTTTCTTCCAGCCCATGGGGAAGGAAGACCACTCTATCTCCTCTCAAAAGCACCTGGACCATAACAGCAAGGAATGTCTTCAAAGGAAGGCATAACCTAGACACTATGGAGATAGTAACACCACACATGGGTACTAGCTGGCTTGGCATGACTTCTGTCTATTGCAAGTGAACACTTACCAACCAAAAATTGTCCCTGGTCCATGCTAATCCAGAAGGTGCTTGTAAGAATTGCTTGAGAAGTACTGCTGGACATGGGCCAAAATCATGTCAGAGAACTTTCTAACACTGTACAGTTGAAGAACAGTGCCCTAGTCCTTACCCTGGCACTGTTTTGTTTACTAGTCTGTATGTAAACTCAAATGCAGAGGTCCAGTGCTCCTATGTTTCTCACTGTGGAGTGGTATCTGAATTAGCCTTGACTACATCTAGTCACACCACTGACAGGCTGGAATAGAGAGAAACAGACAGAAAGGATGAAAGGAACATCACGAAGAATGGGTTGAATGCAGGGACAGCTCATCTGGACCATGTGCTCTTAAAGGAAACATTTCATCTATTCATCCTGATCCTACCAGTTGAATGCCACCACCTATAATGAATGGATGCCCAGAACAGAGCAATGCAACTGGTGAGACTCCAGCCAGCGTGTTGGGTTCATCCGGGCGCTGGCTCAAATGCCTCTACATGAATGCACATAGTATGGACAATAAACAAGAGGAACTAGAGACACTTCTGCGCCTGTGTAGATATAACATTGTGGGTATCACAGAAACGTGGTGGGATGGCTGCTACGAGTAGAGTGTTGGAATACAAGGGTTTAGGCTTTACAGGAAAGACAGGCTGGGGAGTCGAGGAGGAGTAGCCCTGTATGTCAATGAACAACTGTAAAGTGTGGTGCTCAGCCTAGAGACGGATGAGTTGAGTCGACGGATGAGTCGAGTCTGTGGGTCAAGATTAAGGGCAGGGTTGGAGCAGGGGATGTTATAGTGGGGGTCTGCTACAGACCACCTGATCAGGAGGAGGGTGTGGATGAAGACCTCTATAGGCAGCTGCAATTAGCCTCAAACTCGGAAGCCCTAGTCCTCATGGGGGATTTCGATCACCCCAATATGTTGCGATTGAGAGACGTGACGCAGCTTGATGCAAGCAAGATGTCCCTTTATTGTTGTTATCCACAGATACTTAGAGTTTTCTTGGCTTAGCGTGCTCTCTGCCGGTTGGCTTATTCTATACATTAGGTGTACACTAATTGGTTAACCTAAGGCACAACAATCTGTTACGTCTTCTTCCCCAGCAACATCCTAACTTGTGATTGCTGAGCCAGCACGCAGGCGCTTTCTGCTTAACATTCCCATCTCCACGCCTACTCCTCCCAAGGCCTTCGGGTGACAAGTCCTAACACGTCTCCTGACTAGCCCAGACATGCTGGAGCCTTGCTGAGAGCAGCCAGGCCACTCCCCACACCGACACCTGTTGGGAGAGCAACATGGTGGTGCATAAGCATTCCTGGAGGTTCCTTAAATGTGTTAATGACAAATTCCTTATAGAGATGATAGAGGAACCAACAAGGAGAGGAGCTGTGCTGGACCGACCTTGTGCTCACCAACAGGGAGGAGCTGGTGAGGAACAGGGTGCTCCAAGGCAGCCTTGGCTGTAGTGACCACCAGATGGTGGAGTTCGAGATTCTCAGGGCAATAAGGAAGGTGCACAGCAAGCTTACTGCCCTGGACTTCAGGGGAGCAGACTTCGGCGTCTTCAAGGACCTTCTTGGCAAAGTCCCCTGGGATGAAGACCTGGAAGGCAGAGGGGCCCAAG